GAGGACACCCCAGCAGGAACTTCCCTGTCCCCAGTGCCCCCTGCCCGGCCCCCACCCCGGGGTCTGGATCTGGCCCCAACTTCCTGGTCATTGCGGTGGGAGCCCTCCAGACTGATGCCCAGCGCCGGTGCCCACCCCAGGGAGACCGGCAGTCAAATCGCCAGAGGAAACACACCCGCCGGAACCGGGGAGGGAGAGGGTGGGCTTCTCTCTGTCCCGTCGCCAAACCCTCACAGAAAGTGACTTTGTTACCATCTAATTGTAATCACAGTGGAAACTTCTGTGTCCCGGGCCAGGAAGAAGTCAGTCGGCTCCACCACAAGGTCCGTGGAGCCGGGGTTTCAAATCCCTCTGTCTGCATTTCCCCCCGAAAACTCACAAATGGACCCTGGCCGGGGAGCAGGGAGGTCAGAGCACCGTCCCCAAGCGCCCGAGTGCAGATCAGATCCGAGTCAGGGATGGACCAATAAATGGACCCAGAGACGATCTTTCTCCTCTCTCTCCCCCCTTCTCTCTCTCAAATCAAGTTTTAATAAAAAACTCACAAATGAACAGTCACCTATCAGCTGCTTTTGAATTCCTCTTTTTTTTTTTTCCTTTATTGATTTCAGAGAGAGAGGAAGGGCGAGGGAGAGAGAGACAGAAACATCGATGAGAGGGAACATCGACTGGCCGCCTCCTGCCCGCCCCCCACTGGGGATCAGCCCACAACCTGGGCCTGTGCCCTGACCGGGAATAGAATCGGCGACCTCTTGGTGCAGGGTCAACGCTCAGCCCCTGAGCCACACCGGCCGGGCGCAGCTTTTGAATTCAGTGTAATGCTTTGTACAGGCAATATAGTCGCATGGTTCAAAAACCAGAAAACAGAAAGACACACAGTGGGAAATGTCACCTGACCCCTGAACCTTTGCCCCCCACCTGCCCGTCTCCTCAGGTAACCACAGGCTCCAGCACTGTCCCCCAGGGTCACACACCCCCAAGCAAACATGTATTTCTCTCTCCTGACTGGCACAGAGGCGGCACGTGTACCATTCAGCCTTCTCCTCCTCCAAACTGATACTAAGTATCTTTCCACATTCCCGGCTGTGCCATACTTCACTGTGAGGCCGCACCCCCACCCCCATCTGTTCAACCGGGGGTGTCCCCTGGATCTCGAGTGTCACACACAGGCCTGGTGCCCCCACCTGCCTGTAGCTACTTAAGGGTGAAGAAATGCCTCCCAGCAAAGCCTCTTCTTACCCAGGTTGCTAGGGAGGGTGACTTAAAACAAACCAATTCTCATCCCTTCCTGGCTCAACACCTACCAGCAGCTTCAGCTCCCTGCCCCTGCCCCCTCGCCACCATCCCTCCCCCATTCCAGCCTCCTCCCTTTGTGTCCCTCACACTTCAAGCAGGGTGCCACCCAGGCCCTCCCCACTCCAGCCTCGGCTCGGAAACCCTCTCTTCCAAGAGCCCCTGCCTGGCCTGACGCCCACCACCCCGGGCAGCCGGGAGCCTGCACAGCTCCTGCCTGACCAAGGAGGATGGGCAGCCTCCGGGGTCACAGGCTGGCGCAGCTGGGGCTGAGCACGCGGGCATCTGCGGCGGGCGGGGGCTGCCTCCCAGAGCCAGGCCTTGGGGGGGGGGGGGGGAGAGGGTTCCGGAAGCCAGTGAGGGGCTACACCCAGCTGCCATCTGGACAGCAGACCCCACGATTCGACTCCCACCTCCCACTTCAGGACCATGTGCCCTGGGAAACCATCCGACAGACCGTGCTCCCCAGAAGGAAGACCGAGGCCCAGGAACGGGAGGGGAGGCCTCAGCACCACCTCCTGCAGCAGGAACGAGAACCCCAGGAGGCACGAGGAGGAGGCCAGGTGCTGCCCGCCATCCCCAGGTCCCATCAGTCAGTCAACAAACTTCAAGGGCCACACCTCACGGGGACCCTTAGCCGACCGGAATTCAACCACATGCCCGTGGCAAACGACAACAGAGGGTCCTGGGAATCAGGATTTAAAATCACTGCGGCCCTGGCCGGTTTGGCTCAGCGGTTAGAGCATCGGCCCGGGGACTGGAGAGGCCCGGGTTCGGTTCCCGCTAGGGGCACGTGCCTCGGTTACAGTTTGTCCCCGGCCCCAGTTGGGGTCATAGAGGATGGCGACCACTCAATGTGTCTCTCTCATTTGGATGTTTCTCTCTCTCTCTTTCTCGTCCTCCTGCTCTATTTGAAGATAAATGCAAAAATGTCCTCGGGTGAGGACAAAAAAATAAATAAAATAAAATAACTGCGGCCGTCGCCCCAAATGCCACCTGCTGACATTTGAGCAGCCAGGAGCTGGGAGTCCCTCCTGGTAAGGCATCTTGGCCGCCAAGGCCTAAAAGGGGTGTAAGGGAAAGAGCTCACACCCACAGGCCCCGAATGCAAGGCAGACACTGAATCTGATGTCCAACAGGACACCCAGCGCCCTCAAGGCCATGCAGACTCAAAGGACGGAGGTCTTCACCCAGGCAGTCATGTGATCACCGTGAACTTGGACATCAAGACCAGAACAGGAAGCTGCCCTGGACTTTCAGGACAATTCAAAGGATTAGGCTCGGCCGGTGTGGCTCAGTGGTTGAGCGTCGACCCTGCACCAAGAGGTCGCCGGTTCGATTCCCGGTCAGGACACATGCCCAGGTTATGGGCCTGATCCCCAGTGGGGGCGTGCAGGAGGCGGCCAGTCGACATTCTCTCTCATCAATGCTTCCATCTCTTCCTCCCTCTCCCTTCCTCTCTAAAGTCAGTAAAGGAAGGGAATCTGGTGGTCCTTTAGGCCGTGGGAGAGTTTCATCTCAGGCCCTGGATTCCTTCCACCCTGACCTCTGCGGACGACAGACCCACTTCCCTCAGTTGTCCCACAAGCACCTGCCGTGCGAGAGGCACGCACCAGCTCGGGGAAGGCACCCCGGGTCGATGCGACCAAGCCCTCCATCTCACGGAGGCACAGAGAAGGGGGCACAAAGCTCGGCTTTAGGGTGAGAAAAACCCGAGTTGAAATCCCAGCTCTACCCTTCGCTTGCTGGAAGACCCTTCCTGAGCCTCAGTTTCCCCCATTTGCCAAGGACACGCAAGAATGTGACTTGCAGGATCACTAACGAGGTCTGGGAAGAAAAGCAGCCTAGGAGGCCTGGCTCTGAGATGGTGCCTTCCCCTGTGGGGTCTCCAGGCCACTGTCCCCCAGTCTAGCAGGAAGTGCCCGCCGCTGTCACGGGACGCCCCGTGGTTCGGCCCCTGGCGTGCCCCTCGGTGCTCTGTGGACTACGGCCTCCAGAGACCGGACGCGCACTCCAGGCTGCCCCAGCCCAGGGTGACAGCACCCGCTGAGCCCACTCTGGTGAGCGATGCAGCAAAAACAGCCCCGTCTCCACAGCAGGCTCAGCCCACATGGAGGCTGCGCAGGCCGGCCGGGCAGAGCCAAGAATGCGCGAGCAGGCGGGCGGCGGCTGTGGCCAAACGGTGCTCCTGCTCCACCCCGGTGGCAGCAGGCGGGCAGCAGTGGGCAGCGGGCAACCCGCCAGCGAGCATCCCGTAGGGACGTGGCCTGGAGCTGCGAGACCTCGGGGTTTTTCAGAAGACGGAAATCTGGCCTTTCGTGTGAAACCTGCCAACTGGTCGATGCTGGCAGCTCGTTACGTTTTTAAAAATAATAACACGGCATGAGTCGAAACACGCAAGGGCAGCGACCGGGGCTGGACAGTTCTCATGCCTCAGGAGTGGGACTCTCCGACGGCATCCATCCCTGCCCACTGCCCCTCACACAGCCCTGGGCGCAGACGGGAGGCGGGGAGCTGAGGAGGCACCAGAGCCACAGTTCCAGGTCCCTCCCCGCCTCCTCTGGGACCTTCACCCCCATTCCCATGGCCCAGAGCCCCAGAGCCTCAGTCACTCATCGGGGCTCCCTTCCTCAAGGGCTCCAGATGGTGGCCAGCACACCCCTCTTTTTTGCTTTTTCTGGCCTGTCGTGGTGACACCTGCTGGCCCAGACCAGCTCTGGACCAGTCCAAGTGGCTGTCACAGCTGAGCTGGGGCACCCCTGCTTGGGAGAGTGGGGAGCAGGGGAGGAGGCTGGCAGAGGCAGGGCCACCCTGAAGGCGGAGGCCCCTCCCTGTGCTCCCCACAGCCCCACTGCAAGGGAGCAGTGGCAGCCTCCCCCCCCTCCCACCCACTCAGGGTGCGCCCATGGAGGTGGGGCGCGGGGGGCGCATGTGATCCCGTGTGCGCAAGATTCACGGTGCGAGGGGGGCTGTGACTCCAGGTATGCGGGACACGTGTGACATGTCAGACATGTGTGAGTCACATGTGTGGCAGGCGTGAGTGCGTGTTAGGGAGGCACACGCATTTAGCAGCAGCACAGCTGACTGACCAAGAGGCACGTATGTCTGAGGGAAACCGTGTGCAAGGCACGCATGAAGCATGTGTGAGGGATGCGTGTGAAGAGCCCACACATGTGTGCAAGAGGTTCGGGGCGGGGGTGCTGGTGCCGGACAGGGAGGCGGCGGGATGGGGTGACAGAGGAGGCGGCGGGTGCGTCCACGCGGTGCGCAGGAACTTCTGGGGCTGGTGCGGGAGCCTGGGGCGGGGGAGGGGTGGCCCAGGGCGTGTGGTGGCAAGGGTGTGCCCCAACTAGGGGTCCAGGCTTCCCTTCTGGGGAAGGGGGAAGGGGAAGGAAGTGGGAGTGGGGCCTCGAAACGTGGGGAGCAGTGGGGCGAGGGGGGGTAACCGGCAGGACGCGGCGTGGAGAGGGGGCGGCGGGACCTGGCGGGTGGGGGCCGCGCCCGCGGAGCCCTCGCCCACTGGAAGGCACCACCTCAGCGCCCGCACCTCTCCAGTGGGCCCCGCGGCGCCGTCCCCGCGGCTGGACCCGGGCGCGCGGCTGTGGGGCCGCCGAGCCGTCGGGGCGTCCGGAGCTCGGGGAGCCGGCGGCGGCGGGCGAGGGCGCGGCGCGGGGCGAGCCAGGCCGGCGGGGTCCGTGTGCACTCACCGCGGGGCGCTACGCACGTCCGTCCGTCGGTGCGTCCGTCCGCCGGGCCGTCGGCGCGTCCGGAGCTCGTGCGCCCGGCCTGTGCGCGGCGCGAGGCGGGGCGGAGGCGCAGAGGGGCGGGCGGAGCCGGCTCTCGGCCCCCTCCCCTGCCTCCGCCTCCGGGGCGGGGTCTCGGCCGCGGGGTGGTGGGTGGGCAGCCCGGGCGGCTCCCTGCAGGCCGAGGGGTGCGAGCCGAGGCCCCGCGGGGCTGCGCCGCGCGTTCGCCCAGCACCTCGACCCCTCTCCGCACCCCCGCCCCGCCCGGAGCTCCGCGTGTCTGACCCAGCGGCCGCCCCGAGCTGCGGGCTTTGTCCCGGCCCAGCTGGCGGAGCCTCGGCCTTCCCGCACGGAGGATGGGCCCACACTCGGCGCCGGGCGGGCCCCCGGGCCTGGGCGCACGCTGCACAGCAGGCCCGGGTGCGAGGGTCGGGGCAGCCCGGCTGGGCCCCCGCTTCCGGATCCCTGGGGTCTCCCACATTCCAGGGCCTGCGGCACGTGGTTCCCAGCCCCCGCTTGGAGGCTGTCTAGGTTTGTCGTTTTTCTCAACGCACAGCGGCCTGTGACCTCAGCCACGACCTTGACGTCGCTGAATCCAGCCTCCTCCTCCCCTGAGTTAACCCCTGGCTGTTGATGGGGAGATACGGAGAACCCCGGGTCCTGCCCTCAGCACGGGGCCCACCAACAGGTGGTGAACCCCCTAAGCGCACACCGTTCCTTACTGTGGCTCCGACTCCCACCATCTCCCGGGGTGGGTACCCCATGGTCTGTGACCCACTCACCCCGTTGGGCAGACCAGGAGCCTGTCCCTAGTAAGAGGTCCAATGGGGAGCAGGCAGTTCGCAAGGGACTATACCTCCCAGGCCTTTCCCCAAATCAGGGGCTTAAAACACCACCCCGAAACCTGCACAAGCAAAACCCAGGACAGACATCGGGCACCAGGGCAGCCCCTGTGAAAGGGAGACTGGGCCAACCCCCTGGGCCCTGCAGGCCTGGACTCTGCCCAGGGACCCTAAGTCCCTCCCCAGAGGCCCGTCAAGCCCAAAGAGAGTTAGGGTCCTGGAAATCAGTCCTTCCGTCTGTCACTCTGTTTGCCATCTTGTCTTTGTCTCTCGTATTCACGCAGCATAAAAGTCAGCGTTTTCCGCGCTGTGAAGGATATGATTCCGTGGCTACAGAACTCCCCCCCTTGTCCTCTCGTGTGTCTCCCCTCCCCCCCACTGTGTTTCTTACTCGTCCCCCATCCCGTCGCTCCCTCTGTGTCTCTTCAAGTTTTCGTGTTGCTCTCTCTCCATGTTACTCTGTCCTTTTTTTTAATGTTTGACTATTTTATTTATTTTTTTAAGTTTTTTTTCTTTATTCATTTTTTAGAGAGAGAGAGAAACATCGAAAGAGAACATCGATCGGCCACTTGCACGCCCCCCACTGGGGATCGGGCCCATAACCTGGGCATGTGCCCTGACTGGGAATCAAACCGGGGACTTCTTGGTGCAGGGACGACGCTCAACCCCTGAGCCACACCGGCCGGGCTGCTCTGTGCTTCTTGGTCTCTGCATCTCCCTCGGACTCTGTGCCTTGGTGTCTCCGTCCTGGGCCTACATTCTCTAGACCTAAAGCCTAGACTAGGTCCTCAGGGACCTCAGGACCACCTCCCTGCCAGACGACACCTGGTCCAGCAGCTGCCACCTCACGTCTGGGCAGCAGCCATGAGCCTAGAGTGTGCCCCACCCCAGGGCCTCACTGTAGCCCAGACAGCGGGAGGTGCCCAGCAGAGTCAGAAAGAAGGAGCCACTTGCCCAGGACCACAGCTGGGAGGAGGCAACGCCGGGCAGTGCCCACGGCTCACACAGTCGGCCCTGCGTTCTCTCCAACCCTGGACCCTTTCCCTGCCGGAGCTCGTCCCCTCAGGACCCAGCACTGCTGCGCCCTCTGCCTGGAGCGCCCGGCCCTAGGCCCTCGTGGGTGGCCCGTCCTGGCCGGAGACCCGGCTGAAAAGTCCGCACCCCGAGAGCCGCCTCTGAGCCCAGGCCGAGGTGGCACCTGCCCTACCCTCTCCACGCCTCGGGGTCTTGTCACCAGCCGACTTTTTCTTCACTTGGAAACGACTTGTCGGTGGCCTAGCTGGTGTTAACTCCGCTACTCGCCAGCCGGGTGGCTTTGGGCAGGTCCTTGGTTTATCTCAGCTGTGAAATGAACGTCATCACATCAGGGCCTATCTCTGGGCTTGCTGGGGAGAGTAAACAAATTCAGATACATAAGCAATTGGAACGTGGCTCGGCCCATGAGGAGCGCTCAGGAAATATCTGATGAGGGAGGGAGGGAGGGACAGACTGATGGACTCCCTTCTGTCAGCCGGCGGGCAGCCTGGGGCCCGAGAAGACACCTGTCTCCCTCACCTGGGCCACTCCCTGCCCTCAGATGTGGTTGCCTCCCCCAAAGCCGGCTCCTGGAGCTGGGGGAAGAGGCAGGAGGTGGGAATCCGGCCTCACCTGGCAGCCTGCTGCGCCCGAGCCGAGCCAGCGTTCCCGGAGATAAAGTGGAGCCACCTCGCCAGGCCCTGGTATCTGAGCCGGAGACGCAGCCAAGGCGGCCGGGCCCGGGAGCCCGGCCAGGGCCCTTATCGCAGACAGAGAGCAGCACATCACCCCCCAGGAATTTGGGGCCCGGATCTGGCTGAGACACAGTTGGAGGAAGTTCCAGGCTGATAAGTCTGAGTCAGAAGGAGCGGGCAGCAGTTATTCGGATCAGTGACAATCACAGCCCCCTGGGCACCGTGACGCCAGAGCTGGCAGGCAGGGGCTCACCTGCACCACCTGGCCCCCCGGACGGGGGGCGGGGGGAGGCTCCCCGGGCCTCCGGGCCTGCAGCTCGCTGGGTAGCCTTGGGGAGGTCCCTGCGCCTCCCCTGGCATCTGAGAAGTAGCTCACCCCTACAACCAGGACACGGGGTGTAGAAGCAGGGGTGCCGCAGCCAGATGGCCTTGGAGAAGCCCCGTCCCCCCGGTAGCGCTGAGGAGATAGCGTCCGTCCTCTGGCCTCCGCGGCCTGAAAATAGATCCAGCCTCACAGGACTGTGTTGCTTTTTAAAATTTATATTGATTTTTAGAGAGAAAGGAAGGGGGAGAGAGAGACATCAATGTGCTCTTCCCCTTAGGTACGCATCATTAGCTGATTCTTGTATGTGCCCGTGACCAGGGTTCGAACCCGCAACCTTGGTGTGTCTGAGCGGCTGGGCCAGGGCCCGTAGGGTTGTTTTGAAGACATTTACAGCAGAGTCTGGCCCAGGATGAGCCCTTGGTTAAATGTACGTTGTGTTGTTAAGTTCACACAGACTAGACCAACTGGAGCCGGCAACAGCACCCCAAATCTCCCCGCACAGCGGGGTGCAGACAGCACGGGGCTGCCCTCTCCTTGAACAGTGGTCCCGTGCTCCCCACCAGAACTTGCCGGCGACACCCCTCCCTCCCAGAGAGGGCTCCGCACCGGGCCCTGTCCTCATGGCTCATGTCCCATGAGCTTCTGCTGCCGGCGCAGCGACCCGATGGCACAGGGCAGCGGTCCGCCGGGGCTGCCAGGGAAGCCAGCGTCGGGCTCAGCAAGACGGGCTCAGAAAGACGCGGGGATGTTCCGCAAACGTGCGCAAGACGTTTCACGGGGAGACGGGCAGTGATGCTCAGGCAGAGTGTGGCGGAACCAAGTCCTGGCAGCTCCTCCCAGAGCCCAGCTTCAGCTTCATCTGGGACGTCTTGAGTTTTTTAATCCTCACCTGAGGATGTTTGTTTCTATTTATCTTCAGATAGGGAGGGGGAGAGAGAGAGAGAAACATGGTGTGGTTGCCTCCCCCACGACCCGACCAGGCCGGGGACCGAATGGTAGCCGAGGTCCGTGCCCTTGACTGGAATCGAACCCACGACTGTTTGGTCCCCGGGCCGATGTTCTAACAGCTGAGCCAAACCGGCCAGGGCTGGGACACCAGCATGGACACTCTCCCCCGGAACAACTACATCTGAGTCTTCAGAGGGTGCGGCTGGGCGTGAATATTGTCTCGAGCCCCAGTCGACTGTGAGGTGCTGCCAAGTTTGGAAAACGCTTCTCAAGGTCCCCACCCTGTCCGTCCAGCTGTGTCCCTCCCCGAGGGGTGAGGAGTCCCTGAGAACGAGGACAAGGAGCCCATCTGGAGTGGGTGCTGCCTCGGGCTGGCCCCCGGAATTCCCTCCTGTGGAAGAAAAAGAGGCTGCACAATAAATCCAGCAAGTCCAGCGTCTGAAACTAGCCCCACGGGTTAATATGACCACAAATTCCCAGCTGGGCAGGGTACGGTGGGCAGTCACACCGGGCGGGTAACTTCTTTAGTGAAAGGCTCGTCTTTGCCTGGAGCAGGCCCTGCCCGCGGCTTCTGTGCATCTGGGTTCACACCTTTGAGCTGCCTCCTCGCTGGACCCCTCAGGGACATAACCACCCCCGAGAGAGCCCACGAATTAACCCCAAGCGAGACAGAGACAGACTCACAGACAGAGCAGGCAGCTCTGCGGCGGGGCGGGGGTGGGGAGAGCGAGCGAGAAAGAACCAGAGCGAACACTCATGGACACGGACACCAGTGGGGCGGTGGCGGGGGAGGAAGAGGCCACAGAGGGCGTCAGTGGTGATGGGAAAATGACACCAGGTAGAGAGGGCTCACCCTCTTGTTACCTGCTCTGTGATTCAGCCCTACCTGTCCTTCTCCACCTGCACCGACTTCCTGAGCCCCCTCCTCAGTGCCGAACACACAGAGGAACCCGCACGTCGTCCTCGTGGGGAGCACCTGAGAGCTTGCTCCCTGCTCCCTGCACCAGGTGGGCTCGAATAACTCACCAAGGGACGTTCCCCAGGTGTCTTCCCTGACACTGCTCAGACTGCCCCGCGCTGAGGGCACAGCCTCGTCCCTGGTCCCTCCCCGCCCCGGAGTGGGCTGCGTCACCGGTGGACACACCACGGGCCTGAGGGGTGGCCACAGGCAGCTAATG